AACGCGCCATGGGCGCCGCGGCCCGCAGCCTTCGGCTGGCGCTCGGCCTCCTGCTGCTGGCCACGCTGCTGCGCCGGGCCGACGCCTGCAGCTGCTCCCCGGTGCACCCGCAACAGGCGTTTTGCAATGCAGACGTAGGTAAGCGGCTGTACCCGGTTCGCGCGGCCCACCTCCCTGCCGGTGCAGCTGGCTGGGGCTCCCTCTGCCATCCCGCAACTGAACGCCCCAAGCGCACTTTCTCCCTCCTCCGTTCCCCCGTTTCTCTTTCTTTCTCTCTCTGAGCTGGGAGAGATGCTTGGCGACCTCAAAATTCCACCGAAATTCCGCAGCAGCTCCGGCCCCAGGAAAGGGAGCCAGGGAACGCTTGGGTGTTGGCAGGCGGCCTCCCTGGGATGCCAATGCTGGGGGCGGGGAGTAGGGGACACGCGGGGGTGCGGTGGCTAAAGGACTGGAAACCCCGGGAAGAAACTTCCACAGGTGAGGGGTTGGCTGTGTGAGGAGGGCTTCTCTGCAGCCATTGGGGAGTTTTTGCGTTTAGCAGGGCAGAATGGAAGCCCCCTGAGCAGATCCCGTGAGCTCAGAGGGACTGAGGAAAGCTGCTGGAGTCCACTTCCCTGCTGCGTGTCCCCGGGAAGGCCCCGCCAACAGGGCCAAGCAGGGTCCAGAGACTGAGTATTTTTGCTGCTGTTGACTCTCCCCACCCCCGAGAATGTATACACACACACACACACACACACACACACACACACGGGGACTGGGGAGTGACTTATTATTATGATTATGAGAGTCATGGGATCGTATGGCTGCTTAGATTGCCCAGCATATATGTTACCCTCAGGACTCCTTGACCCAAAGAGTGGGTGCTAGCTGGCCAGGTAGGAGGTACATACATAGTTATGTGGTCCTGGAAAAACTGGTAACAGTGGGAGGCTCCACTTGGAGTTGACCCCCAAGGCCTCTCCAGCACTGGGCAAACTCCCGTATCCAGCAGGTGAGGTTCTGGTGCCTCCTCCACCTTCCCTGCAGGTTTGACTTTTATGTTCCAGTTGTCTGAGTATCCTGTACCCCTCTCCCACATAGACTGAAGCCAGTGCCTGTTTCTCCAGGTGTCAGAAATGCCCTCTTGATGCCCTTTTCTCTGGCTCCTTGCCCCCACCCTGGTTAGCTCTTTGGAGGGTGTTGAGCTGATCCTATCTATGGGGCTACTTAACTCAGCCTACCTGGACGTAGGGCGTGAGGTGTATTTGTGGAGTGGTTTGCAAATACAGTCTGATTTGAGGGAAATGGGATCTTTTGTCCAGTTGAGCTTTGACGAGCAGCAACATTTTGGGTTGAGGGAGTCCTTTCCAATGAGAGAATCATTAGTGTGTTTCCTCAGGGCCATCCTTTGGGGGTACGGTTGTGTAAGGTCCCTTTGTAGAGAACTCACTTCTGATCACCAAGTTGCAGGGAACTCAGAGAAAAGCAGCAGGCAGGACTCGGAGGCCTAGTTCACAGGGGCCTGGTAGGAAAGAACTGACCCGGGATGCCCACACTGCTAGCTGCAAGTCGAGGGACGCTTAGAAAGACTCTTCCATCTTAGCCCAGACAAGGTAGCACCAGGCTGGGAGCTGCGCTAGTCCCGTCTGGATCAGAGGTCTGAGGACTCCGTGCCTAGAGGCCCCTTCCTGCCTGCACATTGCTCTCCTCTGCCTAAATTTCCTAGCATTGCTGTCCAAAGTGTTGCATCTAAGTCACCGTGAAGGCAAGACTTTGAACTCATCCCAGCACAGTGGCTCAATCCCATAGCGGAGCTATGTCTCCTGCGGCTGTTGTGACAGATGACCACAAATGGGTACTCCCAAAGCAATGGAACTGACTGTCTTGTGATCCAGGAGTTCCAAAGCCTAAAATCCAGATGCTGGCAGGGCTGGTGGCCCAGGCCTCCCACCCAGTTTGGAGGGTGGCACTCCGATATTCCTTAGTGGTTTTGGGGGGATAATGGATGAGTCCCTTTCTCTTCTTGTCTACATACGGCTATGCCCCCTCTTACAAGGACACAAGCCAGGACACAAACCACTGGATTCAATGTTTGTTTCAACCCATTTTGACTTGATTACATCAGCAGAGATATCCCAAGAGGGTTATATTCATGGGTCTGGTGGTTATGGACTTGTAGGAGGGACACTGTTAACTCAGCACAACCAGGGTGTGTTAGCCCTACCCACCCCTCTCAGGATTGACCAGCATGAACCGAAAAGTGGCTGACACCGTAGGGTAGGGAACTGCAGTGAACCCACCCCGCCAGTATTGGCCTGCTGCATGGTTCTGTCCTCCTGGAAGTGATACAGATTTGTGACTTGCTCAGAGGGGCATCCAGGTCTGGCTGACGTCAGAACTGTCCATAGCTCTCTCTTGAGTTCCCAAGCTGATACGAAAGATCTGGCTCAGACTTGGGCTGCTGTTGTTTTGAAAGCATCTCAGATTTTGGACACCCAGAACCGTGACCCAGGACCCTGAAAAGGGTGCACATAGAGGGTTAATAAAAGCTAGCATTTCCAGTGGCTGCTGCGTGCACAGAGCCGAGCTGCCTGGCTCAGAATCTGACCCGGAACGGATTCCTGGGAGGGATCTCTCTGTCAGTGGCAGGTCTGGAGCTATGGTGGACATAGAAAATTGTAACAATTCTTATGGAAGGGATAAGAGAAGGCTGGCCCACTCTTGGAAGGCCCCTATCTCTGCGCTTTTGGGTCAGGACGCATAGGAAACGTGTCTGCATCCTGGCGCTGCTCAGAAGCACTACTGGTCTGATTCTCTCACCTCCTACCGCAAGTCATGGAACCTGAACTGACGGAATCTGCTGAGCTACTTGGCAGACTCTGACTGCACTGACTGCTTTCTGGAATCAAGGGCATTCAGGAATGGGGGTGGGGAAGCTACCCCCTCTGCTCAGGTAGTGAGGCCTGAAGCCATAGTCAAGACCTAAAGGGCCACCAGGTATGGTGGGCGATCAGGGTGAGGACATAGTGGCTTTCTGTGGGGCCTGTGTTTGTTTGTGTATGTGGTGATGGAGACCAGAAAGGTAGGAGTGGCCACCCCAGAAAGCATGTAACACGCACACAGTAAGGACTCTGTCTTTGTTGACTCGTGTAAAAGCAAAGCAAGGCACCGCCAGGCGCTGTGAGTTTCGCAGAACTTTGGCGGATGGTGGCTTTCTGCAGAAACTGCTGGTAGCAGGCTCTCTCTGGGCCCTCAGGCATATAGTTCTCATACTGGACTTGTCTGTCTCAATGAACAAGTCCAGAGTGGCTGTCTCTGCGCTATGGGGATGTAAGGGAGAAATGAGCCACTGGGAAGAGGAAGCTCTAACACCAGGGCAGGCAGTAGAGGTGGGTCTAAAGGTTAGCAGGCACACACAGACCCTTGCCAAATGCCAGCAGGTGGCCAGTGGAAGATGTAGAGAAAGTCAGACTTTGTGCAGTTCATGAAAATGATTAACTTAAGTGATGAACTTGCCAAATTCAGGGGTAAGCACATAGCAACTTGAAATGTATTGCAAGTTACAAAGGGGAAGGATGCTGATGGCTGCTGAGGAGGGGGCTGTGGGAACACTTTGACTGGTATCCTGGATGGAGAGCTTCTGCTGGGGAGGGTCTGGGATCTGAGTCCTTGGCAACTCCCAGGCTTGAAGCTATAGAGAAATGACATGTCAATCAAGCAAGGAGGTGTAGACCCTCCCACACCACATAGCTGAGCTCTGTGAAAGCCTGGGACCTGCTCAGGCCTCTGAAATTCCAATCTCCTGGTGTGATGGTCAAGTGCTCCTGCACTGGCCTGCAGATGGACTGGGTCTCAGCCTTCCTCCTCCTCACCTTCATTTGGCCTCCAGGTGGCTTTTAGCATGAACTCTAAATGGCTCTTTAGATAGGAGGAGCAGCTGCCTGGATCTGGTGGGGGACCTTAGCCTAAGGCCTAAGGCTGTGAACCTCTTGCATTGAAACACATTTGAGAGATGTGTTTCATGACTCCAGGAATCTCAAGGGGAGAGAAAGAGAGAGAGAGAGAGAGAGAGAGAGAGAGAGAGAGAGAGAGAGAGA